AGCTTGATACCTCCACGCTTTCTTGAGAAAAAGGGTCTTGACAGACATACAGACAGACAGCAGACGGACATCAAAGTGATCCTATAAGGGTTCCGTTTTGTCCTTTTGAGGTACGGAACCCTAAAAAGTGCACAAAACAACCTCTTAGGGCAAACAGATATATTACCGTACCGTATCCATTCCGACGTGGGTAAAAATTGCAATTTCCCAAATTTCGGGTAAGTTTTTCCCAAAAATAATTAAGAACAATGATCACTTGACGCATGTTTTGTGTTCTAAAAATAGCAATTTAATTTATGTCAAAAAATTCTCAAATAAGTGATTATAATTTCTGACTTTTGCATAAAAGTGATTCCTTGATGATTTTTCATAAAACTACTAGGTTTTTGCAAGATTAACGACGCAAGACGGAATATTTATTATTGTTTTTTCTTTACTTACGACAACTACTTCTCGCGGACGACGTTAGTTGCGTAATGGAAGGGCTTAGAATTATTATTAGTGTGAATGGGTGCGTGATCCTTTGTACGTACAAGCGAGCTAACTTATTTTGGGTGCTTCGTTGGGTTGTATAGCGAGATCCAGTCCGCCTTTTTTTATACTTCTATGCACGAAACACATTCGTAATGTCCGCAGTCGAGCCAAAATCGTCACTAGTCGCCACCACCCGCTAGTTAACAGTAATAGCAAACTGTCCTAAGACACAAGCTCCACCTTTACAAAGCATGCGTAAGACCCATCATGTCTTACGTAAGCGTAGTTTTCGCGCACGCAGCCCACAGACACTTGTACGACCCCCAAGTCGTCCAAAACAGATTCTCTTCCAACGATCTGGGCGCTATTTCGAGAGAGCTGAGACACATCCCAACCTGCTAGTGGTAAACGCAGCCACATACGCTCCGACTCTGAACGTTACGGAAAGCCTCCGGAGGCGCCGTAACGTTCTAATTGAACCCCCCGTTCCGCTAGATTCCGACGACTGAAATACAACACCTAGTGCCACAAACACAGTTAGGACAACAACGGAGGGAACGCAGCGAGTCCGCAGACGAGCGCGCCGCACACCACGTACACACCGTACGCCCGCGTCCCTGGGCGGTTCTTACCGCACAGAACATCGAACAATACGAGTTAGCCATCAGAGCCGGGGTTCGCTACCCCCTGTTCTGACGGCCCTTAGACAACTCATCTACGTGCACTGTAAACTGCCCTAGGAGTTATCGTTAGGCAAGTAACGATGCAGAATAATAAAAATTCACACCTCTTTTTTTAGCTCGCGGCCTGATCACAAACCAGAAACCAAATAAAGGAACAATACAATGTAGGAAAAGAGAATTGTAATAAATATAAACACGCAAGAAGTCGATGGATGAAGATCAGCACCTTACTTTGTGTTCATAGGAGGCCTATAGGTCATCAGCTCATCAATCACATGTAATAATTATTAGGATTATTATTCATATAAAAATTATAACAGGAAAATGCATAGTCAAGGGAAGATTTGAGAGAATCAACTCGCAAAAACTATCAATTATTGAAAATAGGTACAAATCTATAACGCATATCCGTAGTTGTTTACATTCCACGAAAACATAGGCACACAAACATTAACTTAATGACCGGCGATATTTTACCTCTATCTTTGTTAACTGCTTACGTGAGGTGTAAATTGCCACAAAAGGGCTGTTTTCGTATGTACGCTTGTGAATAAATTATTATGAGTGCTTTAAAACGCGTGTGAGCCAAAGTAGCTAGAGATAAAAGCTCGCCCTAAAGTTTTACGGCAACAATGAAAATAATAATCACTAAATACATTACAAGTGGTAGAGATAAGCTGCAGCTACATAATGGTGTAGCACAAACGGGTCGGCTTGACCGGGGAAGGACCACGCACTCACATAATACCATCATAAAGCAGCTAGCAGCTTAATGCTGCTGTGTTTCGTATGTTAAGTGTAGAAAACCGGAGACCCTTTTTACGGGTAATGAGGTACTCCATGTTAGTCTTCAGGGGTGCATCTGCATTTTGATTCTAAATCGATTAGGAACAAGTTGGTTTCCGCTATAATTCCCAAGAGTGCGAGATTACATAAAAATTGCTATTGTATGTGTATGACAGTATATAATAAGATACCACAAGTATTTCTAAACTATCTTTCATTCAATTTAAAAGAGAATTATACAACTTTCTCAGTGAAAATGCGTTTTACACTGTACAGGAACACTGGAACTACGATAGGTAATACCAACTTGGCAAACGAATTTACTGGACCAATAATAAAGAAATTGTTTAATAAGAGAAGAGTGTGGTTTGCAAGATGATGTTGTGACCAGGATTAAGAAAGGAATGCTTCGGTGGTTTGGCCATGTAGAAAGAATGAATGAGGAAAGAGTGACAAAGCAAATTTATGTTGCAGAGGTGAACGGCATAGTCGGGAAGGGTCGCCCTAGGCGAAAGTTTATCGACCAAATTGGCGATATATTAAAAATGGGCCAAATCAAGAGTACCTTTAAGCGACGAGCGTGTATGCGTAGGTATATGGATGTGGAGGAAGCGAGAGAGGTGTGTCAGGATCGTGCCAAATGGAAGTCCATAATCTCTGCCTACCCCTCTGGGTGACAGGCGTGAGTGTTTATGTTAATAAAGAAATCTTTACTTGTTGAGAATTTTGTTCTATACACGCAACTCTTAAATATTATTATCCCGATATTTTATAGTTCTAAATATTTGCAATAATCTATAATGAATAAAAATCATATTATTTAATATTTGCATGCATAATAATGGCTAATTAAGCGGATGTTTCATTACTATAAACATCTTCAATGTACGTTAACCAAACGTAAATAAAATATTTCATTTAATTTCATTTCATTTAAGACAGTTGTACATGTCCATAGGCATCAGCGTCCACTTACCTTCTGTTAGACTGTGTATCTGTTTGTCAGACCTTTGTCTACAAAAAGAAATATTTTCAACAAATGTCGTCTCTGATTGGGATTAAAAAGCAAGAATCTCGAGTAGGTAGCCAATTATTCTGAACGCGGGAGAGATCTTGATGTCTATATATTAAGCGTCTAAGAGCGAAATTTTCAAGCGCCCCAAAATGAAAACATTGTGAAGAGTTTCATTTCTTTTTACCTAAGCCCAATTTCTACATGAAAACGTTTCGTTCTCTGTTTGTTTTATTTATGTTATTTGTATATTTGCACTTAATGTCCTGTAGAACACCTCATAGAGGAAAGTGAAACGTTTATTAAATATAAAATCTTAATTCATAATGTGAACGAGTGTTTTATAGGCGACTGTTTTCAGGTCGCTGGTTACATACGAAAGCATTACTAACGACACGGTTGTGGGTGAAGAGACGAATACCGTGGATTTTTTTCGTAACAGTCCTGTATAAGGTTTCTTTTCCATTTTAACCTATAAGTTTCTCTTTGCATACTTATAAAAACATGTCGCAATTTACGTACGTATTTAAGTATAAAATTTTTGGGCAGAGCTTCAGCTTTCTACGACTGTGTTTTAAATAATAACAGAAAAATATTTTTACATTAAAAAATAATTTTATCTCGATATAGTCGAATGACACATAGTCTGACGTATTCTAAGAACAAAACTCATTACCGTTTTCGTTATCGTTGCCGTTACAGCCTAATAAAGTCCGCTGCTGAACATAGGCCTCCCCATAGATTTGAGGGACATTTTCCACAGTTGCCACGCGTGGCAAGCGAGTTGGCAACCGCAGTTTTTTATTTTTAGTCGTTATTAGGAAGATGCAACTGCTCATCTCCTGGCTTGTTTCCCTCTGTCGCCTCTTACGACACCCACAGGATGATATGGGGTGGCGGATAGTCTTACACCACTACACGAAAAGAATATCCACTACACCATATCAAAACACAATGCTAATACATATTATGTATGTATTTTTTTATAGTATAAGGGTGACAAACGAGCACACAGTCCACCTGATGGTAAGTGGTTGCTGCGGCCTATAGACATCTACATCTATCTTCGTTTGCGAATTAAAATACAGTTGCGTTGTCAACCGTGAGGACTAAGATAGAATGCCTCTTTTCCAGTAAAAAGGGTCTCCGGTTCCCTACACTCAGCATACGAAACACAGCAGTATTAAGCTGCTATTTTACGCAGTTATTCTGTGAGAGCGTGGTCCTTCCCCGATCGAGCCGACCCATTCGTGCTACAACTATACTATTAATATAGCTACAGCATGGCTCTACCACGTATAAGAAACATACATATAACACATACACCTATAATTCTACAACGTATAATGTATATATGTTCTTCATCACCGGCCCGTAAAAGTCCATTGCTTAGAACAAGCCTCTCCCGTTTTAGGGAGGCTTTGCCTTAAACGTCACGTATGGCAGGCGGAAAGATGATCGCAGTACCAAACGTAGTTGGGTATTTTACGTCTATCGTAAATGATGTGGTAATACCGCCATATATCCCAACCAGTGTAACCAGTGTACCCAGTAAACACTTAGTAGGAGTTGCGCGTTTAACCATTACGCAAATCAACACTATTATTAAAAATGACTTAATTTCTAACGCGATTTAAAGATAACAAAAGCATGTTTAAAGTAGAAGTGCTAAGTACTATAAAGGTTTAATAGAGTGACGTTGCGGATGTCAGTGCTACTAGAAGTAAGCAAAGCTTGTCGCGAAAAAAAAATTAATATCTACGTCTAAAGTTGTGATATCGATGTTTTGAAACATTTTTTTCTGGACTTTAAAAACTGGTGCATATGTTAATAAATTAATTATTTGTGTGTGCTTAAGGATTGTGGTGAAAGAAAATTGAAATAAAACATCTAAAAGTGAAATATAAGAGGTACCTTTATTAATAACTTTAATGTACATCGTCTATTTACCCTCGAACTACAAAGTGTCAATTACAATATATAGTCGGCGACACCTAGTGATAATTATCTGCATCATTACATTGCAATTAACTTAAACTAACGCGATGAAGTGCAGTGCGTGCGGAAAGTTTATGGCGGCGGCAGAGGGCGTTACGTGTCCTAAATGCGATAGAAAATCACACAGGGCCTGCGTTAAAGTTCCTGAAGGTGTGCAGGTCCAACCTACTTGGTTGTGTCCGGACTGTAAAATACGGACGCCCCGAAAGTCAGATCAGAATACGCCTGTGCGAGGACTTAATTCCGAGTATATTATCAAGCAAGGCGAAGAGAAACCCCAAAGCCCTGTGGCGCAAGGTTTCAAAGAGTCGGAACTAGCTCTCGAACTACGTAGATTTAGAGAAGAACTGCGAGAAACCAGGGAAGAATTTAGATCTTTCCGACAGGAGATGTTTGATTTGCGTAATTCCCTAAAATCGTGTGAAGAACGCCTAGATACATTAGAAAACAAATACACCCGTCTTGAAGAACAATAAACCCCAATTGAGTCCAAAAATGTCTGCGGCAAAATTCAGGATCTCGAGACGATTATTGCGGACTTAAGAGCAGATTTAAATGATCGAGACCAAGAGCTTCTGTACAATGATATCGAAGTCGCAGGCATTCCAGAAGAGGGCGCAGAAAATGTTCTACACATTGTGACTGCGTGCGCTACTAAGCTGGGCGTAACCCTAGAAGAGCGCGATATAGTGAGTTGTGTGCGAGTCGGTCTTATGCGCGACGAGCAAAGTAGGCTAGCGAAGCCCCGTCCCATAGTCGTGCGGCTGGCGCGCAGGCACACGCGGGACACTCTGCTGCGGGCCGCGCGCGTGCGCCGCTCCTTAACTACCGAAGGTCTGGGTCTCCGCTCCGAAAATACACGAGCCTTCTATATAAATGAACGGCTTACTAAATTGAACCGCAATGTATTTTTTAGAACTAAGGAATTCGCTCGGCGATTTGATTGGCGCTACGTATGGTCAAAAGAGGGAAAAATTTATACTCGTCGAGAACACGGAACAACGTCTTATCGCATAAAAAGTGAAGTAGATCTCGAGAGGGTTTTTGGAACAAATTCAGTTGGGGCTATCGGAAGCAATGGAAAAAAAATATAAAAGTAATAATTATCTGAATTTTTTAAATATTACCTTGTTCTACTATTGCTCATTTTTATGTAAGTCGTTAATAATTGTGTTTGTATTTTTATTTAAGAACTGTTTTAGGATTCTATTTCTGTCAAATGAAATATACTATGCCTATACTCGTATGTGGAATAATAATATATCCTGGTTAGTTCTGGCACAAATTTCTAATATCAATGTATTGAAAAGACTCACTAGCGTTTTGTCTTTAAGTTCTGCAATACATACATACAATATTTACTATACGAGTACATTAAGGTACAAGAAAATTTACTCAATGGATAACTATTTAAAAATTTGTGGTATCCCGATAAATATTATTTATTCTATCAAATCACATAAAATTAATTTTGTCTGTACAAGAAGCAAACTAAAGTTAAATTTTGCGTCGGAACCTATTATGTCAAATAAATATGTATATCTAAAATTCGTTTATGGCTTCTAAAAGTAACGTAAAAGTTGGTCTTTTAAATGCAGGGTCCCTTGGAACGCGGCACGATGAATTTATTGTCGCAATGCAACGGCATAGTGTCGATATCATGGCCATCAATGAGACGTGGCTACGGGAGGGCGAAGAGGGGCGCGCGGCCTCGGTGCCCGGCTACCGGCTGCGGCACGCGCCGCGTCCGCCCGACGTGCGCTCGCGCGGCGGCGACGTCGGCTTCTATGTGAAGCGAGGCGTCGGCGTTCGCGTGCTGTCCCACCCCCCGGCCCCGCTAGTAGAACAAATGTGGATCTCGACCTCTAGCGGCGGAAAGCAACTCGTTATCGGTACCGCGTATAGACCGCCGTGGCTGAATGTCGATACATTCATAGACGCGCTTACCGTTACTATGGGGACTTTTTCATGGAGCCAAAACTTACTTCTTCTCGGTGATTTTAATATTAATATGTTAAATATGACGCATAATACCACTATAAAGTTTAATAATTTTCTTACTTGTTTCAAATTAAAACAGCATGTAACTAAGCCAACCCACTTTACGGAATATAGCGAGACTTTAATTGACGTAATATGTACAGACATAAAAGTAAACGCAGTTACTGTAGAACTTATACGTGAATTAAGTAGTCATGCTTTTATTACATGTCAAATTGATATGAGTAAAAAAAAGCCGGCACCAGTAACAATAATGAGTAGGAGAATCTCTGACATAGACGAGGGAGACTTTCATAAGGACCTTACATCAATAAATTGGAAAGAAATTGAGAGTATCGCGGATGTAAATAATCAGGTAGTGCTATTTAACACAGCCATACTTACACTATTCGAAATTCACGCGCCTCTTAGAAAAAAAACGATTAAACATCAGCAATTCCCGTGGCTAACCTTTAATATAAAATTGATGATGAAAAAACGAGATGACGCATACATTAAAATGAGAAAAAGTAAAAACGACATACATATTAAATACTATAAAGATCTAAAAATCTGCGTCAATAAAGCAATATATAGAGAAAAACAAGCCTACTATAATTTTTATGTTAATCGTAATATAAATAATCCCATTTCAATGTGGAAACATATAAAGTCCAATGTTAAGATAAAACCAAAACACAATATCCCCATAGACTTGTTTAATGATCCAAATAAAATAAACGACTATTTTTTAAACGTGCCTGGAAATAGAAACGTCTCGTTGTCATATTTAACGTACTTTGAGTTCCACTGCTGCGTTAATGACATATTTGAGATAAAGGAGGTAAATGAACTAGAGGTACTAAAATCCATTAAAAGTTTAAAATCTAAAGCCATAGGCATTGATGGGATTTCTCTCGATATGCTCCGTATGACCCTTCCGAAAACACTACCAACTATTACTGCTATGGTGAACAAATCCATTAACTCTAACACCTATCCGACATTATGGCAACATGCGTTAGTCAAACCCATACCTAAGAACTCAAATCCTTTGTCTGAAAAAGACCTTCGGCCCATCAGTATTCTCCCCTGTGTCTCTAAAATTATTGAAAAAATTGTCGCAGAACAGCTAACCATGTATTTAGATAGAAAAAAAATTCTACCGGAAATGCAGTCGGGATTTCGTAAGAACCATAGCACCACGACGGCCCTAGCTCAACTTACTGACGATGTACTAACTGCTCAAGATGAAGGAAAAGGCACAATACTAGTATTACTAGATTTTTCTCGTGCATTTGACTGTATAAATGTTTCCCTTCTCTTATCAAAGCTTCATTACTATGGATTCAGTAGCAGCGCAGTACAATGGTTCGATAGTTATTTTAAAAACCGACTACAAACTGTAGAACTGAGCGATGACCGAGGAACATTAATACGTTCGCAATCAAAAAAAATCAAAGCCGGTGCGCCCCAGGGATCGAACCTGGCTCCAATATTGTTTTCAGTTTACAGTGCCGACTTAGTAAAAAACATTAAGCACTGTAAATATCATTTATACGCAGATGATCTGCAAGTCTACATGTCATGTAATCCGCGTGATACTCAAGAAGTCGTTAATAAAATCAACGAAGACCTCGAAAGTATAGCCGCGTGGTGCGACTCAAACTGCCTTGTACTAAACGGAACTAAATCTAAACTACTAATTATGGGTTCTAAAAATCAAATAAAAAATATATCAGAAAGAGGGGCATGCATCCAAATTCGAGGGGAAATCGTAGAACGTGTAAATGAGATTCGCAATCTAGGCTTACTAATGGATGACAAACTACAATTTGAGAACCACATACTAAGTACTAGCAGAAACTGCTTTTATAGACTTAAGGTTCTTTATCAAATAAGGGAGTTTTTAAATTCGGATATTCGGGTAAAATTGTGTGACACTCTTGTCCTTTCGAAATTTAATTATATGGACATTGTATATGGCCCGAGACTTTTAGCGCGGTCGCGACGTCTAGTGCAACGTGTTCAAAATGCATGTGCAAGATTTAGTTTTACAATACCGCCCCGCACGCACGTTACCCCTTACATTAACAATGCCAAAATGTTAAAAATGGAATATCGCAGAAAACTACACATGGCAACTCTCCTATTCGGGGTATTAAAAAAATAAAACACCTCCTTATCTTGCTGACAAACTCATATGGTCACGTGATGTAAAAACTTACAATACACGCACTAGAGGGAATACTCTCGTCGTGCCTCGTCACCGCACTCACGCTTTCCGAGGAAGTTTCAAATACGCCGCATCCAAGTGCTGGAACGATATACCGCCTCCTTTGCGAAATCTGAAAGCAGTACACACATTTAAAAATAAATATAGAACACAATTACTGCAAAGTCAGATTAACTTTGATCAAAGTTTATAACGCTTTGCACGATTACGTACCTCATCGTCATAGATTATTAACAACGGAGCATTAAAATCGTCCTTTTGAATGCGGCTTTTGTCTTCTTATATACTTTTATATTCTTCAATAATTACATTTTTTTTTTTACTAATTATCTGGTCATTTTATTATATAGCACTTTATAGTATTTTAATAATTTCCCTTTTGTAGTATATAGCCCATTATAGTATTTTAATAATCTCCCCTTTGTAGTGTTCGTATAGCCCTTCTAAGAGCGTCTGAAAGCAACATAAACGGGACGTGCTGTGTCGAAGTGGCATTCGACCTTGAACTCTACTCTCTCCCTCTCACTTAAGATAGTTACTGTTTCTTTCCCCCTTGTTGTGCATAATTCTGTCATGAGTATACGTATAGCACTGATTTCGGTAAGTCACTGGTTGGACACACTGAAAATCAGCGCCATGGAGAGAAAAAAAAATTCATGGCATTATGCTGAGTGTGCTCCTGTTCCCAGATGACGCCTTGACACATATGAGTATTGGTATTGTATAGTTTGTAATATGTAGTATATTGTAATTTGTATTGTATAGCCAATATTATTTGTATATTATGTGTTTCTTTTTTAAGTTACCTGTGATGGCGTCATTTTGGAGAATAAACCTTTCTTTCTTTCTTTCTTTCTTTCTAATAGGAAGAAAAAGTTTAATGTGAAAAAAAATTTGGCGCGTATTGCGTAGTTTAATTGGCAATTACTGTGCAACACCGCAATAAAGCGGAACAGTTTGCACTTTATGATTTCTGAAAACTGAATTTTCTGCGCTGGTAGCACTCGACCTAAAATCGTTGCCTTTTAGAACGGCTCTTAATATAAATGTACCTGAAGCATACGTTTTAAAGTGCTTACTCTCTTCTTAAGTTTACTTTATGAGATTTTTCTAAACGTTAGAGCATTCTTGACGTAATTATTGAAAGTAAGCAAAGGTTTTTTTTTTTTCGAATTGAACCACTTAATGTATTTTGTGATTGGAATATTAAATAATTTTAATTAAAGACATTTAGTTTAGTTTCTACCGTCAAGGAACAGT